ATTACTACTACTACTACAACAACTTCAGATAGAAGATCAGAACTAAAAACGAATCTCCTGCGTTAATTATTCCTCTCCGTCCCAAGCTTTAATCCTCTCTCTATTGTTACATTAATAACTTTTCCAGTCCTTTGTGTGCGTTTGGGCCCATTAAAGTAGCACTAAGGAGGCAGCGCTGCAGCAGAAATCTGCCTACCTTTAGTCCCAGAAAAGGCGCAGCTGCACATCCAAGAGGGTCAGTGTTATTTCGCTGTATTCTCTCCTTGATTATACGAGTTGAGCCCATCAAACCCGGCATAATTACAGTAATTTTGCCCTTATTTATTCTAATGCAGTTTCCTATCTCAGAGGTAATTATGAGCAATTTTTTCCCCTTTTTTTGGGGTGGGTTGGAGGAGGGGGGGATCTTTTTTAGCCTTAACAAAAGAGATAGGGCTCTGAAGAAAATTCTCTGCTGCAAAAAGAAAAAAAAAGAGAAAGAGTGAGAGAAAGTGAGAAATAGGTGAGCTGCCATTTTGTCACCGTTTTCCTTAGATTTAGCCTTTTGCATAAGAGTGACAAATTGCTTGCAGGTGTACATCACCGACTTGTCAATGCAAAGAGGCTTCAAGATGAGCGAGGCACGAGTTTTACTTTCTGCCTCCTCCTTTTTGCTGCATGATGCCTGAGCTGCACAAAAGATTTTTTATTTGAAATAAAGTTCAAAAAAATGGAAAGTAACATTTTTTTTCTAAAAGACTCATAAAATCATGAAAGAATCAGCAACAAAACTACAGTTTAAATGATTAAAAAAGGGGCTTTTGATTAAACAAATTAATCAAATTAATTAGATTAATCCTGTTTCCTGTCTTTAAGGCATCAAATGCATTCCTAAAGAGGAAATAAAACATTCAGCACACACCTTTCTCCTTGAAGTCGAAGCTTCCTCTTGGATTGTATTTAGCAGGAATCCTCATTGAATCCTCACAACACACACACATACACACACACATACACACACACACAAAATCATGGCTTAAATCCCCACAAAACGTGTCTTCATGTGTCGGTCCGAGCCATAGCTGCAGAGTTCAGAATATGACTGCAAATCTCTGCTTTATTTCCCCCTTTTTATAGCCGATGGAGAAAAAAAAAAGGAAAAAAAATGTAGATTATTAGCATAAATGTTTACTCCTCATTACGCTGATGACATTGTGCACTCGAGATCTTGGTAATCTTTGGGGGAAATTATGAGTAATTTTTTTAAAATTTAAAGCAGCAGTTACCATGCAATTCAGGCTAATTCCGCGTAGGGCTCCACACGGATATAATTATCGTTGAGTCAAGATGTTAGGCTAAAAACTATGCATTGATATTCCCATTTATTATGTACATACAACTCTGACAATGTTGATGCTTGAAATAGCGGGAAATTGTCTTGTGCAAAAAAAAATGACACCCCATATTAGGACATGTGAAATTGCGAAGAATTATAAAGTAATTGCAGGCTTTCAGATTTGAAAGCCAAAATGCTCCAACCAGAGCAAATGTGGAYGAAATTACAGATCAGGGTTTAAATGAGGATGGGGGGGTATGTGGCATTTACAGGTTGCCTGGAGAAATGCAAAAATAAAAGAAATAAAATAAAACTACAAGCCACAACAGCTCTAATCCTTGACTGAAATCACAGAGAAGAAACATGCAGAAATCCTTCAAAGGTTTTCACTGTGAAAAACAAAACATTGTGTGTTATTGAAGATTCTGTACAGTTAAAGATACAAATTATAACACACAGTCGGTTATTCTGAACTGTATCGAAACTGAGTTGACTCCATTATTATTCTGATGAACTGAAAGTCTGAAATGCAGGTACACAGTCAATGTCAACAAAGCTAAATCTGCTGAAAATCATGCAAAAGCTTGAGTCATATGACTGACTTGGACTAGTCTGTGTAGGTAATTGAACTGAGCAACACTGGTAAAGGAGCAAAATATTTAAAAACATACAGTGCTTCTTGGGTTTATTTTTTTCAGAACATAATGGTCCAAATACATTTAATTTTCAAGTTAGATTTTTTTTTAGATTGCTTCAAAGCCTTAATTGTGACTTTTACTGAACACATCTGAGCATTAACGGGTACTAAATCAAAACTGTCAGACTTCTCCATCCTAAACAGCTTTTATAGCTATTGTTGCCATTTGTAGCCACTTCTGTGTAAACAAACGCACGTGGTAGCTGGCATCCGGTCACAAATTTAGCTTTTTTTTTTTTTTTTTTTTTTTTTTTTTTTT